GTCGGACCTCCGGGCGCGGGGAACAGCACCATCTCTCGGAGGCCCCCGCGCGGATCTCCTGGAGCGTAGCTGGGCCCCCCGGCGGCGCCTCCGGGAGCCGCCACGCGGCGCCCCGAGCAGCAAGGGCGTGCAGTGGAGGCCCATGCAAGAAGCACCCCGCTTTCCTCCAGGGTGGTGATCGTTTTCTTATGCATTGTTTTGCCGATCGGCGCGGGCCCCAGCCCCCCCCCCTCCCCCGCCCCCCTCCCCTGGAGTGGATCTTGGCTGTTCTTGGCGCCTGTTTCGAGCAGGTGGAGCCCCTCCCCCAGAGGACGCACTGTTGCAAACAGTCGCGCTAAGCAGAGGTCCGGAGCCAGACCCGCTCCCTCCCTCCCCTTTTCGCTCAATGTCGAAACGCCGAAGAAGACGCGCACGTGCCCTGGGCTTTTCTTGGGCTCCGAGGGTGCCGCTGTGGAGAGAGCGACGCTCCCACACCAAAAAACGTCGATGGACGTCCTGGGGTCTCAGGGTTGGGTCTCTTGTGGAGGGTTTCTTGCGGGCGGGCCCCTATGTATTGTACACGCGATGTCTCGGAGCTCCGCGCGGAATTCCCAGTTCGGTGCTGGCCCCCCCCCCCTTGGCGACGCTCTGACGCCGCCGCCCCTTCATGCGCGCTCCGCGCCAGCCAGCAGGATTTGTTGTTTGCTGCCCAGCTCCCTCCGAGGAATCGCGTGCCCGGTGGAGGTGGTACAGTCAGCCCGCATAGTAGGGATGGGCAACGTTCCCAAGGGCACCCTTGCATCCTTACCTCCTTGGTCCGGCCTTGCCAAGAAACGCCCTGCTTGCCTCCAGGCTGCCCCGGGTTTTTTTGGGGGTTCGATGGTTTTGCGATGGGGAGCGCGACGTTCCCACACCAACAATCCATGGGCGCTCTGGGGTCTCGGGGATGGGTTTCTGATGGAAGGTTTCTTGTGGTCGAGCTTCTACGGTACATCGCGGGACCTCCGAGAAACGGTGGCGGACCTCCGAGAGATCACAGACCTCCGAGAACTCGCGTGCCTCTTGGATCGGCGCTGGGCTTCCCCCGGCGGCGCCTGCGGCGCCGCCCCCTGCGCATGTCCAGGAGATCCGCGCGGACCGTCGAAAGTTTACAGTGGCGGCCCATTGCCTCCAGGGTCGGGCGATCGCAAACACTGTAGGCCTCCTAGATGGGGTCGGAGTAGATTGGGTCGGGTGATCGCGCCGCATCGCTGATGCATCGCCGATGCGGCTCGATGTGGAGCCCGATTTCCTTCACGTCGACGCCGCCGATGCATCGCCCACGTCGACGATGCATCGCCTGTGCATCGCCGATGCATCGCCGATGTATCGGCGATGCGGCGCGATCCCCCGACCCCATCTACTCCGACCCCATCTATGAGGCCTCTAAACACATGGATCAGGGGAGCGTGGATTAGAGACGGGCCCCGTTTCCACTGGAAATCGCGGATTTTTGCCGCCGAGCGGAGCAGCGCCTGCGGCATTTTGGGGGAGGGCACCTCCCCCGATCCATGGATTTGGCGACCGCGTGCCAGATCCATGGATCGCTAGTGCATGTTTGCCCCGACAGTGCCCTGGGTTTCTGGGATTTCGATAGTGTTGCGATGGAAAGCGTGACGCTCCCACACCAAACATCAATGGACGTCCTGGGTCTCAGGGTACAGTGCAGTTTTAATACATGCTCCGCGAGCGGATCATGTATTAAAAATGCAGGGATTTAGTATTAAAAACAACGATGAGTTCATGCATAAATTTATTCATACATTAATTATGTTTTAAAAGTCAGATATTTCGTCAAAGAAATCCCATGTATTAAGAATTGCCCTGTAGGGTTTCGGTGGTTTCTTGTGGAAGATTTCTTGTGGGCTCGCCTCCACTGTGTGCAGGAGGTGTCCTGCTCGCGCTGCTCGCGCTCCCTACTCCTTCCCCCTCCTTCCCACCCTCCTCCTGCCCTCGTTCTCCTCCTCCTCCTCCTCCTCCTCCTCCTCCTCCTCCTCCTCCTCCTCCTCCTCCTCCTCCTCCTCCTCCTCCTCCTCCCCTCCTCCCTCCTCCTCCTCCTCCTCCTCCTCCTCCTCCTCCTCCTCCTCCTCCTCCTCCTCCTCCTCATCCTCCTCCTCCTCGTCGTCCTCCTCCTCCTCCTCCTCCCTTCCTCGTCCTCCTCCTCCTCCTGCCCTCGTTATCCTCCTCCCGTCCCTCGCCCTCTCCCTGTCTTCATGCTCTTCCTGCGAGAACGCACGTCGCCTGTAGGGCGCCCCCCCAAGGTTCGGAACCCGAGCAGGGCGACGACGGCGTCGTCCTTGGCGACGTCGTCGTCGTCGCCAGCGCCGGCGCCGGCGCCAGCACCGGCGCCGGCGGCGCCAGCGTCGGCGTCGGCGCCGGCGTTGTGCCTGGCGTCGTTAACCCGTCTGCGTCGTCCTCGGCGTCGTTGTCGGCGTCGTGCTCGTCGTCGGCGGCGGCCTCGGCGTCAGCGTTGTCATCGTCGTCGTTGTTGGCGGCGTCGGCGTCGGCGTCGGTGTCGGTGCCGGCGTCGGCGTCGGCGTCGTTCTCGGCGTCGGCATCGTCGACGTCGTGCTCGGCGTCGTACTCGGCGTGGTAGGCATCGGCGTCGGCGTCAGCGTTGTCGGCGTCGTCGTCGTCGGCGTCGTGCTCGGCGTCGTGCACGGCGTCGTCGTCATCGTCGGCTTCGTCGTCATCATCGGCGTGTCGTCGGCGTCGGCGTCTGAGCTGGCGTCGGCGTCGTTGACAGCGTCGGCGTTGTGCTCGGCGTCGTGCTTTCCGTCGTTCTCGTCGGCGTCTGCGTTGTGCCCAGCGTCGTTGTCGGCGTCGGCGTCGTCGTTCTCGGCGTCGTTGTCGGCGTCGTCGTCGTCGTCGGCGGCGTGTGCTCGGCGTCGTCCTGCACGGCGTCGGTGTCGGCGTCGTGCCCGGCGTCGTTGTCGGCGTCTGCCTCGCGCTCGGCGTCGAGCTCGGCGACGTACAAGGCGTGTGTTCGACGTCGTCGTCGCTGGCGTCAGCGTCGTGCTCGGCGTTGGCGTCGTCATCGTCGTCGTTGTTGGTGGCGTCGGCGTCGGCGTCGTCGTCGTCGGCGTCGGCGTCGACGTCGTGCTCGTCGTCGTGCTCTTCGTCGGCGTCGGCCTCGTGCTCGGCGCTGGCGTCGGCGTCGTTGTTGGCGTCGTGCTCGACGTCGTGCTCGGCGTCGTGCTCAGCGTCGTCGGCGTCGGCGTTGGTGGCATCGTGCTTGGCGTCGTGCTCGGCGTCGGCGTCGTGGGCGTCAGCGTCGTCGTCGTCGGCGTCTTGCTCGGCCTCGTGCTCAGCGTCGTTGCCGTCGCCGTCGGCGTCGGCGTCGTCATCGTCGTCGTCGTCAACAGCGCGTCCTCGTCGTCGTCGTCGTCGGCGGCGCGTCCTTAGCGCCACCGCTGTCGTGTCGTCGTCATCGTCATCGTTGTCGCCTGTCCCCCCTCCCCCCTGGGTTCCGAGGAGGGGGTGCTCCCCCCCGGGTTCGACCCCCTGGGGGGAGGTTACTTCCTACTCCTCCTCCTCCTCCTCCTCCTCCTCCTCCTTCTCCTATTGCTCCTGCTCCTCCTCTTCCTCCTCCTCCTTCTCCCATGTCCTCCTCGTCCTCCCCCTTCCTCCTCTCACTTGTCTGCTCCACCCCCCATCGCCTCCTCCGTGTCCTCCTCCTCTGCCAGGACCCCCCCCGCCCTGCCCTCCCCCACCCTGTCCTCCAACGCGCGCGACGCAGCTTGTGGTCAACCAGCACCATCCAGAGGCCACGGCCTGGCCCGCCTGGTCGCAGCGAGGCAGGGACACGTGTCCGCAATTCTGGACGTTCGCTCGGTCGTTTCTCCTCGTGAGTCCTCCCGTTCCTCCCTCTCTCCCTCTCCCCCTCCTTCCCCACCTCCGTCGCCTGCTCCCTGTCCTCCTTCGCTCCATCCTCCCCCCTCCCGGCCCTCCCTCGCCCTCTCCTCCGCCGAAGCGCGCGACGAAGCTCGTAGTTAGCATCGGTCAAAGTCCACGGCCCCGCCCGCCCAGTCTCCGCGAGGCCCGGGCGCTTGCCCGCAGTGCTGGCCGTTCGTTCGTTCGTTCCTTCTCGTCCCTCTTCTCCGATTCCCCGTCTGCTCCACCTCCGTCGCTTCTTCTCTGTCCTCCTCCCCCGCCCCGTCCGCCCCCTCCCCCAAACTGCCTCGAAGAGCAAGGAGCTGCATAAGCACAGTATGTGTCACAGGTCCGCGCGGCTTTCCGAGATCGGCGCTCGTCCCCCCCGGCGGCGTCTCCAGCGCCGCCCCTGTCGCGTTCCGCCGTTGCCGCGTTCCGCGCGCCAGGGATGGGATGGTCCAGGGCCGATCCAAGATCTCCGCGCGGAGCTCCAGGGCGTTGATGTTTATGCCCTTTAGCTTGTTCCTCTACTGTCCTCCTCTCCCGCCCCGCCCCCCCCCCCGCCCTGCCTCTCCTCCGCGGACGACTGGTGTGCACCGTACCGCGTTGGCGTCTCCCGAGGCGTCGTCGATTCTCGACACAGGAATGGTCCGGTGCATGGTTTTCCGGCTCCCAGCTCCGAACAAACCATGCACCGTGCCGCGTGGGAGCGGGGCCTGAACGGAGTCCAGACATGGCCCAGTCAACCCGCATAGCAAGGATGGGTAACCTTCCCAAGGGTACCCTTGCAGCCTTGCCTCCTCGGTCCATCCTTGGCCACTTTCGCTGGCAGCGCCCCGCCCGAAAAGCCTCAAACGGCTTCCCCAGGTCCTTACATCCCTATCGTGCATCTTTATGCTGCGTATTGTCTGTACTACGGTACGTGGGCTCCGTTGTTGTTTCCCCCCCACACCCTCTCTTCCTCAACCATGGTTGGACCTAAACGCTGTTCTGCTGGACTTCGGCTATGTTTGTTTTTCGCTTTGGCTGGGAGGTACATGAAATCAGATAGAGCACAACGAAACAACAAAACAAAACAAAAACACCAGATGCCCCCCCACGCCCCCCAGGTCGCCAGGACCGAGCGGCCAGAGGACGGCGAGGCAGCCCTTCGCGCTCAGCGCAGGCAGCCGCGGCCGACGCTGGCCCCGCGCGCCGGGCGCAGCGGGTGCTGCAGCACGGGGAGCAGGAGGAGGAGGACGAGGAGGAGGAACAGGAGTGAGAGGATAAGGAGGAGCAAGAGTAGGAGGAGGAGGAGGAGGAGGAGGAGGAGGAGGAGGAGAAGTGGGGAGGAGGAGGGGGAGGGAGGAGGAGGAGGAGAGGAGGAGGAGGAGGTGGAGGGGGAGGAGGACCAGGGGGAGGAGGAGGGAGGAGGAGGTGGAGGAGGCGGGGAGGAGGAGGAGGGAGGAGGAGGAGGGAGGAAATAGGGGAATCCGATCATGGTCCGGGAGGAGATGGGGGCCAGTCGCGGGGGAGTTGGTGGGAGGAGATGGGGAGGAGTGGGAGCAAGCAATAGAGGAGGGCGAGGGATATGGCTGGGGAGGAGTTAGGAGGAGGGGGAGGAGGAGGAGGAGGAGGGGAGGAGCGAGGAGGGTAGGGAGGAGAGGAGGAGGAGAGAGGAGGAGGAAGGAGGAGAGGAGGAGGGAGGTGGAGGAGGAGGAGGGAGGTGGAGGAGGTGGAGGAGCAGGGGGCGCCACGAGGAGCCCACGCGAGGGATGCGGCGAACCTCGGCGGACAAACCCACCAGGGCACGGGGCGCCCCTCGGAGGGGGCGGAGGAGGAGGAGCGAGGGGGAGGAGGAGGAGGGGAGGAGGAGGACGGGCAGCAGGTTGGTTTCTGGCAAAATGCCGTTCAGCAGGGCAAGGTTGCAGCACTTTCCTATGTGTGCCCGCTCTCTTCCTTCTTTTATGGCCGCACGGTCTTTTTTTTCTGGTTTCCAGGGCCTCATGCAGGTCCCCCGCGGCGCCCTGGGGGATCCGAACCTTGGGGGGGATGCGTTGGGAAGGTGTTCAGTGCGACAATGCGAACTTGCTGGCTGTTGCGGCGCTCGCCCGAGCTGCTTGGACCTAAAGGTGTCCCTGCCGTTTAATTGCATCCACCCCCTTCGTTTTCTGGACGCGTCTCTGGCTGGAGCCTCCCTCCCAGTGTTACCCTCACTCAGCAGGTGTGTGTCTCGTCCTTCCTTCATGTCCCCTGGGACCCCTGAGCTAGGCCGCGTGAGGTTCAGGCTACTGGTGATTGATTCACGCGAGTGACCTGGAGTCTAGGGTCGCCCAGGAGTTGACCCACGTCAACTGTGAGGGGGAGGGGTTGCCTGACTGTCATCCCTTCGTCCCTCATTTCTTATGGTTCGCTCTCGCTCCTGCTGTCTTTTCGTGCCTCTCGTTAGGCAACCCGACCTCTACCGACGCCGACTGGCGTGACAGTATTCCCACGTTGGAGCGCGACTCGCATCTTTCGACTGCTGGTGATAATTGCCCTACTCACGCCTGCCCCCTCGGTGGAGCGGCGGAGGGAGACTCGCATGTCCTTGAATTCTAGTTTGCTGGACTGCCGCACCCTTTTCCTCGCCACCTTTTTATGGATGGGCTTCGCCTCTGATGCCGTTAGGATCCGACCGACCGACCCGACCGGGGAGGAGGAGGAGAAGGATGAGAAGGAGCACAGGGGACAAGGAAGAGTCCCATTGCCTGCCACCATCTCTTATTACTCCTCAACCATCGACCCTTGCGAGAAGGGGCATGGGAATCTGGAGCAGGAGAAGGAGATCAGGAAGAGGAGGAGCAGGGAGGGAAGGAGGAGGAGGAGGAGGATGGACGTAGAACCCAAGCTGCACCAACGGGATGTAGTACATCCAGAATTCAGTTTTCACCGCGGGTAGTAGCCTCGTGACAGACGAGCGCCCCATGGTTTTCCAATGCAGACGAGTGCCCTGTGTTTTAAAACAGAGTCCACGTTCTTTCCTTCAGCTATATGGTAAGAGTCGAGGTCTGACCATTATGCTGAACGAGGTATCCAACGAGAGCTCCGCTTTGAACGGGACCGCCTTCAATCCGTTCAAAGATTCATCACAAAGCGCTTGGTCACCATGTCTAAGAAAGTCCCAAGCATTAGCCCCGATTGGGAAAACAAGTGGCACGTGTGACATGGCTCTTGCACGAAAAGGAAGGGGGAGGAGGAGGAGGAGGCGGTGGAGGAGGAGGAGGAGGAAGGGGGGAAGAGGGGACAAGACATCGCCCCTCCGGGCCCAGCAGCGGGGCCCACATCCCAGGTGGGGAGGGGGGGGAAGTGGCGTGCGTCGCGACGCGGAATAAAGTGTTCGGAGCGGAGGGGGCACGGGGCGGGGCGTCCACTGTGGCGCTTGGGTGCGAGGAGAGGAGGGGGGGGAGGTGGCGTTATCTGTGTGCGTCGCGGACTGCGGAATAAAAATGTCGGGGGCGGAGGGGGCATTGGGCGGCGCTTGGGGCAGAGGGCACGGGGCGGAGGTACAACTGGTGGCGCTTGGGTTGGGGGGCGGGGTGGTCTGCGTCGCGACGCGGAATACACTTGTCGGGGCGGAGGGGGCACGGGACGGAGCCCCCACTGGGGCGCTGGGGACGCGGGGAGGAGGGTGGGGGACCTGGTGTGCGTCGCGACGCGGAATAAAACGTTCGTGACGGAGGGGGCAGTGGGCGGGGCTCCCGCCGGGGCGCTGGGGACGCGGGGCGCTGGAGACGCGGGGGGGCTCGGGGCAGAGAGCCACGGCGCGGGGGTCCCACTCTGGCGCTGGGGACGCGGGGGGAGGGGTGGGGGTGCGACGCGGAATGAAGCGTTCGTGGCGGAGGGGGCAGTGGGCGGGGCCCCCGCTGGGGCGCTGGGGACGCGGGGGGGCTCGGGGCAGAGAGCCACGGCGCGGGGGTCCCACTCTGGCGCTGGGGACGCGGAGGGAGGGGGGTTCTGTGCGCGACGCGGAAATTAAAACGGTTCGTTGGCGGATGGGGGCAGTGGGCGGGGGCCCCGTTGGGGACGCTGGCCCAGAGGGGGGGCTCGGGGCAGAGAAGCCACGGCGCGGGGTCCCCTTCTGGCGTGGGAGCGGGGGGATGGAAAGGGGGTGTGGTGTGTACGACGCGAGATAAGAGCGTTCGTGGCGGAGGGGGCGTGTGGGCGGGACCCCCGCTGGGGCGCTGGGGACGCGGGGGGGCTCGGGGCAGAGAGCCACGGCGCGGGGGTCCCACTCTGGCGCTGGGGACGCGGGGGGGGGTGGGGGTGCGACGCGGAATAAAGCGTTCGTGGCGGAGGGTGCAATGGGCGGGGCCCCCGCTGGGGCGCTGGGGACGCGGGGGGGGCTCGGGGCAGAGAGCCACGGCGCGGGGGTCCCACTCTGGCGCTGGGGACGCGGGGGGAAGGGGGTGTGTGCGACGCGGAACAAGGGGCACGCGTGCCAAGGATCATACAATCGCGGATGCGAGACAGACGGCAGGGCGCCAAGGTCTGGTGGGGGGGGGCAAGCGAGTGCCCCGACAGGCCGGCGACGGACCATAACGAAGGAGCGGTCCCGATGTTTTCTACATCCTGAAGCCGTCTCGGGGGCCCCGTGGTCGTCGGTCGTCGGTGGTGGGGGTGGTCGTCGTCCTCGGTCGTCGTCGTCGTCAAAGTCGTCGTCG